TCGCTCCCATTCCTGCGGTTCCAACCTCTGCTGCTCCAACCTACGTACAAACACACACACACATCTGTCAGTGATAAACGGATGTGAAGCACGCTTGGGGAAAAAACTATGTGGATGAAAGAGACATTAATCGAATTGCAGGTTGCTAATTAGACAGGCTAACCATGAGATAATGCGGAGCATAAAAGAGCACTGAGGCATGATGGACCACAATTTAATGTGCAATTGCCATGCAGATTATTTATGAAACAGCCATTGTTTTCAAACTATTTGGTCTAATTGTGCGGAGAGCTAAAAGCAGGACTTGTAACCAATATACCAACTTTGGTAAAAGAACAAGAGGTGAATTTTGTGAATTTTATACTTTCTGGTTAGTCTAGTACTGGAGAGTCCACAGCTGAACAATGGGGCCCGAGTAGGGAAATGAGCTGCCTCAGTTCCCTACTGTTCCCTCCCTTCTCCCCCAGCACATCTGTTACTCACAGCTGTATAAAAAATATGGCACATACATACAGTATAATATAGATATACACTCGTGCAAAAATGCACAGGTCCAAACATACGAATGCAATCATGCACACCAACTCAGAGTGGCTGTGATTTAAAGCTTGGGCAAAGTGTGCCCAGGGAATCCGGTCAGATTTATTCACAGCAATTTAATACTGATGAATATCATGAACTAAATGCACCAGCATCTATGCTGGATGTGAAAGGTTTTATTAACACCATAGAAAACAGGCAGCCACTGGGACAGCTAGTACCTTAACAGACAGTTCCTCTGACCAATCACAAAGCCTCCCTTACCGTGCAACATGGGGCTGACTGAAGGTTTAACATGGTCAGGCTAATGCCATCAAATCCTCTACATATGCATGTGTACAAAACTGTGCCAACAGCACTAATGCAAAGCCAAGACGGCTTGACTTGCCATTGATTGGTAGCAAGTAAACCCAGAGGACACAGTTTGCTTCTGTTAGAAATATAAACATTACACGGTCTCTCAAATCAGCTTTCTTGTGTAAATGGTTAATCTTTCTAAAAGAAACGCTGCTTTTTAAACTAATACTGACATTGCTTATTGCAGCGTCAGCGTTATCAGCTGTACATTTTATTTTGTGCTGCATCAGGGCCAGAGGACATACGAGGAGATTCACAATAGAATGTGGCCAGGGGGTTAATTAGAATTAGCAATGTAAAATAAAAGTGGGTTTCATTTAGAGAAGTTCTAACGGTACCTCCGCTGTTGATCAAGCTCTTCTTGAGACGGTCCATTTGACACTTGGCGGGGGAGAGTTGCATAACCTGCCAAAACAACATCATGAATGAAATAAAAAGATTACAGAACATGCAGTTATACATGGTTGTGAATAGGCTTAATCACTCAATCACACTTCAGATTATTTGTGCATTTACTGGGGTACACAACCTTTGTACCAATGCTACTGAGTGAAGAAAGGTTGACAGCCAAGATGTGACAGAGGCACCAAAAAGGGTGATGTACACCAATACTTAGACCAATACTTTGGTTACAATCGGTCGTAACCAAAAAGGGAAAATCCATGACATATGCTGATGTAACAGGGAATTTAGTGAGAATTCATTTACCTGCATCTGCTATAGAGTTGAGCACCTCCAACGCATGAGCCATGCCACTGGCAAATAGAGTAGCATCCTCCTTGGTGCCAAAGTTAAGCCCCCACACTTGCCGGGCATCCCGCCACTGGTGGAAATTGGGTGTGGCTTGGTTATACTTGAGACCTTTTGTGATTGGACAGTTTATAACCACCTGGGGAAGGAAGAGAAGAGATGATCAATCCAAGAATCCTTTTGGTAAAGATGGTAAGCAGAATGACTACTTGTCTATATCACTGACTGCATAAAAGATGGATGACTTGACAGCTCTCAGAAATGGAGCCACTATGAGTGACCCTGGTGGCCGGTTGCAGTATAGGCCATAGAGCTGGTCCCCTTTATGTTAGTGGATGGCACATGAACCTAACTAAACTCAATGTCTAGTCAAATCTAATTTTTCCCAGCAGTGATATCTGTCATAATTGCTAGATATTATCACTCTGATGTGTGGTCATTTATTAGGTAAGGTTGTTTTTATAAGTTATTTGATGATATTAAAGGGGTGTATTTCATATAATATATGTGTATTATTATGATTTGACAGATTTGATTGGCAGCCTGATATGTCACTCAACTACTCGCTACTGCACAGAATGTGGCTACAAAATGCCAAGATGGCAGCCACCATATTCAGGATATTTTGGCCTCACCTTTGCAGAGTGGAGGAAAGCAGTGACGCGTCATTCATCTTTATATACACTCTATGGTCCATATGCAAACAAATTGAGACAAATATCAAATTTGAAAATACTGAACCAAATCCAAAACTGTTAGTTAATAGTTTAAATTAAATACCTAAGAAATAAAGTAGCCTCCAGGAGGTTGATCCCTCACTAGAAACCACATACAAACCCACATCCCTGCATATGCATGGAATTATTGTGGAATCATCCTGGTTTATATTCACCCAGCAGGTGGCATGAAGCCCATAAACCAGGAAAAAAATAAAGTTCTGGGTTTGAGTGTTGCCTGAATGTGCTGACGCACCATTTCACTGTTTGTTTAACAGCCTCTGGATTCCACAGAACAGAGATGAGGAGAAGATACCCTGTCAGGATGAATATTAGAGTAGACAACATGCACAGAAAAACAGAGGGTAGCAGGGTAGTATTCCTACATCCTCCACAATCCTGTCAAATCACAAGAAAGGCAGCAGGGACAGGCTGAGGATATGACCAGGAAAATGTAAAACAAACAGGATAAAAGGCAGCATGTTCCAAAACCCTGGGCACCTGAAGAAAAGCCTTAATATAATGGTTTCACTTGTATTTTCTGTGTAGTTTAATTAGCCAGTTACACCAGGATACCTAAAAGAAGAGGTAAACAGACAGCAACTCTGTTATGTAGACCCTACTGCTGCTGCTCTCATCCCAAACCAAGCTCCGTCTCCATCAGACACACATATAGTGTCCTTATTGGGTATCAGGCTTCTCGCACTGTCACAGGAAATGGCTGAACAGGCTAACTATCACACAGGAAACATCATCCACTTTAAGACATCTCTGGGGAACACTTTAGAGTGCTTAATGTTTAAAGAAACAGCGAGACACTGATAATGCAGGGTGTAGCCAAGAATAGACTCACCCAAACTCAGTTTAACCAGCTTTATAATTTGGAATCTGCCCACCTTTATCTGTTGCTGTCTGGTGAGTCCTTAATCATCTGATATCGACAAGGAAACCATTATCTGTTTTCCTTTTCAGAGGAGTCCTCCTGCTCACTTTGCCAACATCATGCCCAGAATGAACACTACCATGTTCCACACAAAGCTTTTTAGCTCTAGGTCTGAGTGTGATCACGTGTATCCTCTACAGGTAAACAGTAACAAAAGGCAACCCACTGTATGTGTGTCACCATGGCTAATTCAAGGCTCACTACAGCAAAACTAGTTTTGTGGCTCGGCAATATACCACAACATATAAAAAAGATGATCTTGTTCAAGCTTCTGTACAAGTATGTTTCTGTTATTTTCCACAAATCCCATACAGAGACTAAACCCAACAAAGATTTCCATGGACCCACTGTAATGCATGTGAATCCAGAACTTGGTTTAGTTTATTTGTCTGTGCCACAGACCTCCAGTGTTGTCCAAAAACTATTAAATACATGTCAGGGAGCCATACCGCTGCACTGGTTGACAAGTTTCTTCCTCTCACAGAAAAAAAAAAAAAAAAAAAAA